TGCCAGGAACAGTTTGTCTCCGGGGGCCGCCGGAGATGCACGCAGCCAGCATCAAGGAGCCCAGAAACGCCGGACAGGTGTGACAGATCAACAGGTCGTGTTGGGGGGGCCAGGGCCCAAGTGCTGCTGGCTGCGGGCAGGAGCACGTCTCTGTGGCCGCCTGCAGCTTTCTCCGGCAGCTCCCTGGCCGGGAGCTGTACACTGCACTGCTGTTCCATCGCTCGCAGTCCCATCCGTCTCCAAAACTATTTGTCCTGTGCTTCCCGTATGTAATAACTCTCCAAGGGTCACTCCAGGCTGCAGGGATAAGCACCACGGAGTCCAAAGCAGAGCAGCCTGTGCAGGGCATGGAGGGCAGATGTGGTTTGGCCTTTCCCGTGTGCGCAGGCCCTGGGGGTCCAAAGCGCCCCACTGGAGCCAGTGTCCCTCTCTGCTGTGGAGCAAACCTAGGTGACCCGACGAGGTCACGCAGCCAGGCAGCCCACAGCCCAGGCATCCAGGCTGCTCGCACTGCAGCTGTGGCTCCTGGCACGGGCTGGATTAGAGACGTAACACTCCCCCCACTTTGCTGCAAGCTGCAGCTCATGTTGACGTGGCTGGTGCAGAGAGCCCCCAGTCCTTGTCCTGCCACGATACAGGCTCAGTGTCCTGCACTGCTCTGCCCAGTGCTTCTGGGCACGGAGGGGTGGCTGGGGAAGGCTCAGGGCAGGATGCAGAAGTTTGTAAGTGTGATGCACGCATGCGCGCTTACACATACACACACACCGCTCTATTTTTGGAGCTGTAACAAGGAGATATTTTTAAAGCCCTTAATTACAGCTCTGCCTTGGAAGCTGATGTGCTGGCCTGTGCCGGCCTGCCAGGCGGTAATGGGGGGTTATTGCCGAGGTGAGCAGCTCTGCCATGCTGTTGCGGCTGGCCGTGGAGGAGCTGGGAGGCCAGCGCCAGCGTGTGCTAGTGGGGAGGGCACCCGGGAAGCTTCACCGATTGACTGGCTGGAAGTGCAGCTCTCCAGGGGCTTCCTAGCACGCTGGGCTGTCTGTACACAGGTACTTGGAGCAAAGCCCCTCGGCCAGGGGCAGCTGCATCCCTGGACAGGCGCTGTTAACAACACGCAAGGCAGACATGGCCGGGGTCTGCTTGGGTGCTGCACCTGGGAGCTGCTGGGAGCCGTGCTCCTCTGGAAGAGGGCCGGCAGTGCACTGGTCGCAGCAGGTGCTTTGTAGAGCTGTGGAGGGCCGTCTCCCTCCATGCCCCCCCCCAGCAGCGTCCTGCTGCTTCCATCCTCCAGGCAATGGGGAGCTCCAGGATGGCTTTCTGCCACGGAGAAATGCCCTAGAGCTGTGCTGCAGCGAGCAGGGCCCTGCATTGGCAGGGCTCTGCGTATGTGGGCAGGGAGGCTGGCAGGAGGAGGGGAGGAACGTCGCTCAGCTCTCACTGGCCTGGCACCCGAGGCGATGAGCTGGTTCAGTTCGGGTGGGCCTCAGCACCGAGTGCATGCTCAGCACGGGGTCCTCCAGGGGCACGTCCAGCGCTGCTCAGCTCCCTGCGCCTTCTCGCCTCACTGGCCTCGTGTACGCTGCCTCCCGCGCTGCCCCATGCTGCTGCAACCTCAAGCCCCTGACGTCCCCCGTGATGCAGCCCAGACCCCTGCAGCCCTGAGGGCGGGAGCGGCGAGGAGGGCACCCCACTGCCTGCAGACCCAGGGCTCAGGCTGCAGTCTTGCTGCTGCTCATCCACTGGGGCCAGGGGTGCAGCCGGTAAAGTGCCATGGGGTGTGTGCACGATGCTGCTGCTTTCCTGGTGCCCCAAAGATCGGCATCTCCGCACCCTGCAGGTCAGGCCCAAGGGACCTGTCTGCCCCCTGCTTGGGCCCTGTGGCACTGCTGCCCGTGCTGGCGCTGGCACTCTGTAGCGAGCACCCACACTGCAGCACCCAGCCAGGCTGCAGGGGCATGGCCTGCCCTGGGATCCAGGCAGAGGAGTGGGTGCCAAGCAGGCCAGTGCCTGTGCCCACGCTCCTGTGCATCCTGGCAGCAGTTTCTTTTGTTGCTTTCTGTGCCCAGCACCCACATCTGGAGCAGCGAGCCTGGCCTTTTGGCTGCACCTTTCACTGCATTGTGTTTGCCCTGTGACTTGGGGGTAGGGAGGCATTTGGCACAGCCTGTCCCACTGCTCTGCAGCCTGTCCAGGAGCCCTGGATGCTTCCAGTCGTGTTTTGCTCATCGCAAAGCACCTGCAGCTTCGCTGTACACTCGGGCAGTGCGCAGATCATACCCTGGGCGCTGCAGTTGGCCTTGGCATGGTGGGGGAGCGTTGCCCGCTGTCCCCGGCCTGGGCGGTTCTGGCAGTGCTGTCGGTCGTGCGCACCTGGAGTCACCAAAAGTCTGTCTGAGATGCCCAGGGAAAGGGTCCTCGTTTCCACCATGGTTAGCACATGCAGCTAGTGCTGCAGGAATGGAGGAGTCAGGGGTCTCTTGGGCTGTGTTCATGCTGGTCTTGGGAGTATTCGTGCTGAACCAGATCAGTGACTGGCTCTTCTCCATGGGATCCTGGTGCTGGATGGGGCCTGCTCCCTGGGCACTGGGATCCCTGAGACGGGTCCAGACCTGTCCCCCGGGCTCTACAGGACTCGGGGTGCTGTAGTGGGAATCCATGCAGCGCCAGGGCAAGGTCAGGGGGCAGGACTGCCAGGGCTGGGCTGGGCGGTGCTGGTCCTGGGCAGGGAGCTCTTTACCTGGTTCAGTCGGGCTGTGGGCACCGGAGGTGGGAGCATGAGGGCCTCATGCATGGCTCATGAAATGGTAGTCTGGCACAGGTCACCAGCCCAGCTTTCTCCACTGGGGTCAGCACTGGCCTCCCCCGGCTCTGCCCTGCCCTGCCCATGTCCTCGCGTCGCTCTCTGCTGCCCGGTCTCCACTTGCAGTCTGAGCCGATGATCGTTCGTTGCTCCTGCGCAAGCAGAAGAGCAGTCGAGTGGTGTTGAGCCGTGGAACCGGGCTGGAGCCCAGGCTGTGCTTACACGGAGGTTGACCCTAGAGCCAGCGCTGGTGCCCAGCCAAATCCTGAGTGGGACAAACCCTGGGGCACAGGGGCAGCCAGAGTCCGAGCCCAGCCATGGCACCACAGGCCTGTCTCGCTCCTTGGTACCGTGTGGTAGCCGCCAGCGTGGCCGTGGCTGCTTCACGGCTGGTGTTTGCTTGTGTTTTCTCGCTTGCAGCCTGGCTGCTGGAGAAGGGCCCGATCCTCTTCTCTCCTCCCTGCTTTGCACTGACCACAGGGCTGGGGGACCTGCTATGTCTGCCCCTCCCCCATCTGCATTTGCCTTGCCTGCTTCCCGTGGGGCGGGGGCAGGGGCAGATGCCCCCAGCGGACAGGGCAATCTTACCCGCCTCGTTGCACAGCTCGTCAGCACTGCGGGGGGTGCAGGGCCTGTTCCCAGACCACAAGCCAGCCCCACCACAACCATCCCTCTGATTTCATTGGCACGATGCCTGGTGCTCACCTCCGTGCGTGCTGTGACTGGGGGGTGCCTCAGTGCCCCGGGGCACCCATGAACTGGCCACCTCGTGCTGCATCTGAGTACGGCTGCTGCGGTGTCTCTGCTCCGTCGCACAGGGCCAGCCTGGCCACCTGTCAGCTGACCAGGGTATCCCAAAAGCCCTGCAGTGAGGGCCACCCCCCCGAGCGAGCCAGCACCTCTGGCTGCTGGCACTGGCTCTGGAGCACGTGGCTGTGATGTCCTTGCCGTGCCAGGGAGGACACAGGTGTGATGCCACTGATGCAGTTTGCAGCTAAGGACCTGGGATGAGGGTGGGTAAAAAAAGGTGGTGGGAGCTCAGGGTTCAGCCCTGGTGTCCTGGGCAGTGGTGGCGCTTCCTGAGGCCCCAGGCGGTCCCATGGGACAGGGAGCCTGTGCTCTGCGGGTGCCCACGCCTCGGCCCAGAGGTGTGTGCAGAGCAGCGGGGAAAGAAGGGTGTGCGCTAGGGTGAGCGGGGTCCCCTTCCTGCAGTGCCAAGCGAGCAGGAGCCTCCCACCCTGCTGGCACCAGTTTCATGCAGGCGCAGGCCCTGGGGCTGCAGTGGAGCCAGTGCGCTGGCACTGGGTGGCTGAGAGCACAGACCAGCCCGGCTTTGGGGCTGCTCTGTTCTGCAGGGCATGGGGCGGTGGTGGGGAAGGTGCGTCTTGCTCTTGCTGGTCACCGGTTTCATGCACCGTGGTGGTGGTGGGGACGCTCTACCAGAGCCCCTCTCGGTCTAGGGCCATTCAGCGTTTCTTGTTAACAGTGCAGAAAGACAAATCCCCAGGCATGGCTGGGAAAACCTGCAGGCAGTGCAGAAGGGCTGGGGTAGCAGAGCCTGCCAGGCCAGCCCGACCTACAGACCAGCCTGGATCTGCGGGGACGTGGGTGCACGTGAGCTGCCTGTGTGCTAGCAAAGCCAGTGCAAGGTCATGCGATGGGACTTGCTCATGGGGCTGGCCTATGGCCAGAAGAGGGGCCACTGTGCACCCCTGCAAGGCCTACTGACGCCAAGCTGGGGCTGGAGTGGGAGACCCGATCCCGGGGGCAGCGAGCAGAGTGGGGAGGCCTCTGTGCAGTGTTCGTGAGGGGGACGGGGCCCCGTGACAGCAGAAAGGTGCTGGGACACCAAAGCGGGGTCAGACAAGCCCGGGAGCTACGGGCTGGACCGGCTGCCTCTTAAGGGAGATGCTTCCTCCGCTCTGCCGCCTTCCCTTGTCCCGGAGAGCTCTGCTTTGGCCCTGCTGGGTGCTGGAAAGAGGGGGCCCTGGCTGGTGGTGCAGGAGGTCTCGTCTCCTCAGCACTATGACTTCAGGGGTCCTGCACTGCTGCCGTGCCCGGGGCTCCTGCTGGACGTGGGAAGAGTGAGGGTGGCCTTTCGCAGGGGCCAACAGGCGGGAGCAGGGAGCGGCTCTCCCTGGCTGGGGTGCCCTCAGCGCCCCACGACCAGTGACGGCCCCGCTGTGCTCTTCTCCCCCAGGCACACGTTCTGGCAGTACCGCCGGGAGAACCCGCAGACCAAGGTGGGCGACCCCCCACCAGATGGGCTGCCGGGCTTCAACAGTGGCGTGCTGCTGCTCGACCTGGAGGCCATGCGCCATTCCCCGCTCTACAACCGGCTGCTGGAGCCGGCTGCGCTGCAGGAGCTCACGGAGAAGTACCACTTCAAGGGGCACCTGGGGGACCAGGACTTCTTCACCCTGGTGGGCATGGAGCATCCCGAGCTCTTCCACGTGCTGGACTGCACCTGGAACCGGCAGCTCTGCACCTGGTGGAAGGACCACGGCTACAGCGACGTCTTCCACCGCTACTACGCCTGCGAGGGCCCGGTGAAAATCTACCATGGGAACTGCAACACGCCCATCCCCGACGACTAGCGGCCGCCGACGCCTCCCATGGGGCTGGAGCGCACAGCGAGGGGTAGGTGGGGGCACCAGCACCATGCCCCCCGGCCACCGCGGGTACCTGGGCCACGGGACCACTCTGTAACCGTTCCGTAGCCTGTAGCTTCACCCTGCAGGGAGGCAGAGTAGCCTAGTGGTTAGTGCAGGACCCCAGGCATCAGAACAGCTCTGACCCTGGCTTACCTCATGACCCTGGGCACATTGCGGGGGCCCTTCGCAGCCTGGTTTCACTGTCTGAAATGGGGATCATCACAGTTACCCTCCTCCCCGTGCAGTAGTCCTGAGGTCAGTTTATGTAATGAAAGCCTAGAGCCGCGTGCATGCTGGGCCGACGTGCCTGACAGCCCTGAGCCTGGGAACCGGGGCATGGTGCCCTGTGCTGCACACCCGGTGTCGGTGTCCTCGGCAGGCCGGCCCTGCGTGGGGAGGGGGTTGTCTGCACACCGAGCCGTGCTGATGACGTGGCAGCACTGCTGGGTTATTGGGACCACAGTTGAGATGCAGGGAGTGCGGAAACCTGCCTCCTGTTCCCAGCCACAAAGCTTTACTACACGGCTCCTCTCAGAGCCACTCAGTGCACCTGGACCAGGACCAGGAGCTTCCTTTGTCTAGCTTCCCCCTCCCTCTTGTATGGCCGTGCAGCTGCACGTTGCCCTGCCCTTGTCAGCATCCTGTGGCCTGAAGCTTCGGGGAAATGGATTTTGTATGAATATTTTCTTTTCTTTCACTCTGGTTAGGATGTAGCCAGCACAGAGCTGTTGGGTAGGTACGGCACCATGTCCTACATGCCTCAGCCATGTGCGATTGCAGGAGTGTCCCCTGTCAGGCATGTAATAAAGTGTATTCACATCCATTATTATTCTTACATGTGCGAGAGTGATAATTAGTGGCCGAGGCAACATGGGCCACTAGGCCTTGGGGAACTATGCACCTAGGATCAGATGTGGCCAGACCCCTCCTGGGTTAGCGCTCTGCCTCCCTCAGACGTGCAGCCCAACCAAGGGGAGCCCAACCACTCTGGGCCTGCCGGGCTCCCCCTCCTCTGAGTTGCTGAGCCCGGTCCCCCCAGTGTCCTTCCTGCCTGTGGCCAGTGCTGCAGAGGCAGCAGCTGGGAGGTGTGACCATGTCGCTGGGAGGGTACGCGTGTGCCAGTGCGCCCGACGCTGTGGCCCTGAGCATTGTGACGGCCGCACTAAGTGCTGCAGGGACACCTGGGTCACGTGGCTGTAACAGACATGGCAGCGACCCCCACGCAGGGCTTCAGGGAGCATGGAGACAGACACGCAGGCTTTCTCCCTGGGGCTGCCCATGCCTTTAGGTCCCGCCACCCCCATCACCGTGGTGGTGTCATGGTGCGGTACCCCATGCAGCCCCCGAGCTGCCACAGCTCCTAGCACGTGTCTGAGCCCACATACTGCATGCACTGGGCTCGCGCCTGCTTCACCACGGCCTCGGCTCCTGCTCCCTGGGTGCTCGGCCTTTCTCACACCTGTGTCTTCCTGCGGCCGACCTGCCAGCTGAGTGCCCTTTGTGCAGCCCCTTTGCATGGATGCGTCTGAGGGAGTGGGGGTCTGGGGCACCTCGCACTCCGCTTCCCACATTGCGGGGTGGAGGGAGAGGAAATCTGCTGCAGTTCTTAAGAGCAAGGCTTGGCTCATGGCAGAGCCCAGACGGGAGCGCGCCGAGCCATGTGAGGCAGGCAGGGCTGCGCTGAGACATGGTGGCTCGTGAGCCCTGAGCCACCCACAGTGCCTGTCACACATGCACTGCCAGAGGATGCGCTGGGATTTCCCCGGCCGGCCTGGAGCACGGCTGTGTCATCCTTCCCTGCCACACGCACGGCAGCTTGTGCGATAGCCCCATGCAGGCATGTTGCTGGGCACACCTGCGACATGAGCATGCCAGCACAGTCACCCCTGCCCCCTTGATACGCACACAGCTCCCCGGCTCTGGCGGGGCTGCTGCGCTGGGTGTGACCTGTGTCACACCGCAAAGGCTTCCCCAGGGAGCCCTGGGGCCAACCAGGCCGGGCCTGTGTGCTCAGCTGTTCATGCCTGTCACGCGTGGGTGCACGTTAGAGCAGCCTGACAGCTGCCTTGCCGGCCCGGGACGACGGGGCATAGAGCAAGGGAGACCGTCCAGCAGCTGCTGGCCCCATGCCTCTGGGGCAGCTGCCCACCCCAGGCACAAGCACACAGGTGCTGAGGTTGCACCAGCGCTGGGGCGGGGTGGGGCTGCTCCGGGGCATCTGGGGAGGAGCCCAGGAAACGGCACCCAGCTGGGACTGGCTGGCTGTGGCAATACCCAGAGCACGTCCTCTGTGTGCAGGCTGCAGCCTGGTGCCCCGGGGAGGGGTGGGACCGGGGCAGGGAGTTTGCTGCGGCCCTGGTGCTCAGCAGCCGTGCCCGGGAGCGCGCCCCAGTGCCCAGCTGCGTTCCAGCAGTGCAGTGCGGTCTCCCCCCTCCTGCGCTGCCCATTAGGGGAGCATCCGCCTCGCTCCCTGTCCCAAACCGGGGCACCCTGCAGCACTCGGCAGCAGCTGCGTTTCCACCTGCAAAACAGCGCTGCTCAGGCTGGGCTTCCTGCCGCGAGCGGGAGGGCAGCACGCAGGGAAGAGCCCCAGGGCCTCGGGGCGGTGGGGACCAGCGGCTGCCAGGTGCCCGTGTGTGCGCTGTGTCCACATAAGCCCCTGCCCTGTGCCAGGTCCTGCCTCGCCCCTCCACTGGTCCTAGACGAGGCACGGCCCAGACAGGGGCAGCCAGTGTGGACAGCACCGCGGTGGGCGTTGAAGCAGGGCGGAGGCGATCTGAGAGGCTTACAGAGGGTCCCAGGCTGGGGGGCCCAGCACCTGCAGGACAGCCTGGGCCATAGCAGTGGGCAGCCAGTGGAGGGGCAGCTCCCACGTGTCACAGCTATGAAACGCATGGAGCGCACAGATGTGAAACGGGGAAACCGGGAGCAAAGAAACCCGCTGTGCCTGTCGTGTAACGGGGCACGTGCTGCAACAAGCGTGGCGCCACGTGCCCACGCCCTGGAGCTGCAGCCGGGCGAGAGGAGTGACACAAGGTGGACGTGGCCCCTTGGAGCGCGTCCCACGCAGACGGCCACGGCGATGCAGCTGGGGGAGCAGTCCCTGCTATGGGGCTGGCACGGCTGCGCAGTTCTCCCAGCCGGGCTGCTTGTGCCTGTGGCCCAGCGCGCGTGGGTCCCTGCTGCAGACGCGTCTGCGGGCCGGGCGTTCCCACCTCCCTGCCCCCGGAAGCAGCATGAGGCTGAACTCAGTTCCTTGTTCCTGGTTCCTTTTTCAAAGCTAATCCTTGCCCAAGGAAAGGGTGTTAAAAACAAACCTCACAGACTAAAGAGTCAGGATGTCAGCTAAAATGTGTATTTGCTAATTAAAATGTAAGACAATATCATGTATCACGCACAGAGCCCTGAAAAACAACCTGAGCGTAGGCTAGGATTACAGGCGGAAATCTTTTTTGGGCCACCCCAAACCTTGTGTCTCTGCCACCGGGGAACACTGCTGAATAAGTGTGAGTGGGCACTGCCTGGCTTGAGGCTCAGGTTTGGCATGCCCGTCTCCCCGCTGGTGCCCCCGCCCGGGGCTGGCGAGGTGCGGCGTGGGGGGACCCGACAAGGACTTTGTCTGGAAACCCCAGCCCAACCTCAGCCCCCTTTTGGTGCTGATTACATAGCACACAAGCCTGGGGGCTCTCCGCTGGCCGGCACCCCTTCTGATCAGGCACCGTCCTGCTCAGCTTTATTCAAGAGATCTCCCAGGTAGGGAGATGTGTAACTTGGGGGTCACCCAATGGGGGGTTTCACCCCATAACCCAGCCCAAAATAAGATCCTCATGTGGGCACTGTGCAGGTATTGAGGGGTGGGTGGCAGCTGGCACTTGGCAACCGAGCATCGGGTCAAGAAGGGACCTGCCAAGAGTCCCCGGGTGGTGGCGAGGAGTGTTTTGGGTGCTCCAAGAAGGATTTTGCCCCATAATCCCAGCCCGGAGCTATCTCCTTGTTCACAGGGATGTAGGTAGCACGTAAGTCTGGGGGCTGTCGGCTGGCAGCTGCACGCGGACACCGAGCTCTGGCCAGGCAGCGCCTGCCCCCCCAACACGGGCAGCGCAATGGGACGGCTGGCAGCCGGCACTCGGGAGAGAACCGAACTCTCCTAAACGAATACTCTGCGTGGGTTTTGCACCAGACCAAGGCTATTAACTTGCCTGACAGGAAGCAGGATGGACAAGGTGGGAGTGATCACCCACCCACCTATGGTCAGTGAAGATCTGGGGAGGGGGTACCCAGGGAGGCCGCATGTCTACAAGTCGGCAGGGCCAGATGCAGCTGGCTCCTGGCCCCTGCCGACTCCTTGTCCTCAGCAAATCCGTCTCACCAGCCCCGACCAGCCTCCCAGCTGCATGGAGGAGACTCCCACCGCCCCGCAGGGCTCCCCGGGCTCGCAAAGACACCGGCGCTGCGGTGCCCACGGCCTGGCAGCCGCGCTGAACTTGCTCAGCACCAGACAGGCTGCAGGGCAGGGAGGCCAGGCTACAACCCAAGCTGAGCACCCCGGTGACACCTGACCGCCCAAACCGGATGCCCGGGAGGTGGCCGTCTCCCGGCTGCTCCGGCTCCCGTGTCCCGGGGCGGGAGCTCTGTCGTGTGCTGCATCGTCCAGGGTTCCCAGTGGCTGGATGCTGCCCGGCTCTGGGTCTCTGTCCTGTGGTGTGGGTGCAAGGCGGGCCCAGCCCCTGTTGCAGAGATGCCCGGGGCCGTCTAGGCAGGGCAGTGCTGCAGTCGACGCTTCCACGCTGCTCCAGTTCCCAGCAGAGCTGCAGGCAAAATCCACCTGGCAAAGCAGCGTGGCGCCTGCCACCCCCACCGGCCCCCGCACCTGGCGCCTGCTCCACAGCACGGCCTGGCACCAAGCGCCTGCCTGCGCCCTCCCCTCCCGCCCTGCCTCGCAACATATCAAAGGTGCTGGTCAGACCCAGCAACTCCTGCTTCATGCACACTGAAGCACCTGGCTGCCCTGTGCATCCCAAGGGAGACCAATGGCCCCGCGTGCCATGCTGGATCGGTGCCGTGTCTGCTGCCTGTCTCCGGCTCCCTGCCCCCTGCTCCCTGGTGCTCGGGGTCTCTGCCCCAGGCCCCTCAGGCCCTGCCCTGTGCCCCAGCCTCACTGCAGGGTCTCCCCTCAGCTCCCCGTGAGCTTGGCCCTGCTCATCCCGCATGAACGGGCGCAGCCGCTCGAGTGCCCTGAAGACCAGGTGGATCCTGGGTGGGCTGGGTCTTCCCTCCGGGGCTGGCCCTGGGACCTGGGTGTCACGGCTGGATGCAGAGGGGCTCTGGTCCGGGAGCGCTGCAACGCTGGTCCTGGGGCTTTAGTGCCAGCCCAGCTGCGGGGCAGCAAAGTCACCGTCTAATGCCAGGGAGAGCGAGGAGCATTTCGGATCCTGGCAAGCGGGGAGAGGGAGGGAGCCTGAGCAAAGGGTAGGGGGGCGGTTGACAAGGGGCCGGGGCTGCAGGGCAGGGAGCGAGACCAGCAGGAATCGTGTCGCCTCCAGCTGCCGTCTCCCGTCCCTGGCCACCCCCTCCACGTGCGCCAGGGAAGGCATGAGGCACGTGGCGCGTGGGACCGCGGGCTCAGGGAGCGTGCTGCTGCCTGCTCCTGGGGTCACCTGCGTGCACAGGCACGTGTGGCAGGAGGACTGAGACCCAGCCAGATGGCTGTGTGCACCCCTGCGAGCCGTGTGAGCCCGGCTGCAGCTCCCCTGGGGCTGCTGTGTTCAAAGAGTGGCATGAAAGAGCTGGGGGGGGGGCCCGCAGCGTGCATCCCGTGAGCAGGGGTGCA